AACAATAGAGAAAACTTTCTCAGTCACTACTGCTATAAAATATTACCATAGTTCCCCGGGTAGAATCCCACACCGACTTTACGCCCAACTTCGCATACACGAATTTCCCCGGGTGATGTCCCAGGGTCTGAGGATTGGGTAAGTCGGCCTAGCAGGCCTTGCCTAGATCGATAAATTTAACAAATGCTCAAAAAATAAAGGAATTGTCTCCGAATTCTGCCGACTTGAAACTCTTAAAATTGCTTAAAACTGATATTGGTCGTCATAAATTAAAACACAAAGCCCATTCTTGTAAATTACTTTGTTGTTTACTGTCGCTAAAAATAAGCAACTCGCTAACTGCGGCTAAAGAAAAGATAGACAACACCACGGTCCGTCCCTATAAAGACCTGCCCAGTGGGCTGATCGGATCGTTAATTCACAGCGTGAAGACTCACATGTTTCCACAGAGATTGGCTGCTAAAAATAACTTGTTACATCATGCAAGACTGATTTCTTCGCCCGAATATTGTTTTGATAGGCTATTGAATCGTAGGCAAAGATACTAGAAATACAAGATAGAGTTCTCGCATTGAAAAAATGAGGCGGAAGTCGTGCCCAACGTAGGCGGCGCCCTTCTTTTTATCCATGCAAGTTTCCTATACTTCGTGCCCAACGTACAGGGCGCCCTTCTGTTGCTAAGTATATCCAGACGCGAAAGGCGCCCTTCCTTTTCCACTAATAGAGGAAAACTTTTTCACTAAGAGTGCGTCCGGCCATGCGATTCTGCCATGTATTGTTGTTTTATTCTTTACTGATTCATGATTATGCTTTAATTGTTTTGTGTATTATTTGGATAATAGCAACGATTTCTACCGCCACCAAGGAGGTTATGTATTCACCGATGTCACTGTCTGGGTGTCTTTCCAGTTTGTTTTTATATCTCAGTATCTTTGTTGAGAATTGATAATAAAATACGCGACGACTTGGTAACGAAAGTTTGGAACAAGTTTTTTTAGATCCAGCTGTAGGGGGCGTCCCATTTTTCGTATTCCCACCATGCATTCCGGTGGAACACAGTGGAACACTTTTTTTGTGTGGAGAAATCTATCTTGTATTTCTAGTATCTTTGATCGTAGGTGAAAACCACCTTGCAAAACGATCGTCATATCCGTCTGGTCATACACTAGGCCAAGGGAATCCCGGGGTATAATTCCACTCCCCCCCCCCGAAATCGGGACAGTTTCGCGTTCATGGGGATGGGATTATACCCGGGGAACCACGGACTATTATATTCCCTTCATCACACTGGCAAGTACTAGTGGATACTTCTTGCAATTATTTTTTTTTTTATTCTAAAAATAGGGACGTACCTATTTTTTGGTGTTTTTGACATCAGAAATCGGGACGTCAATTTAAGATAACAAATTTTGAAGTATGATTAACATTTTCGGGTATCCAAAGCTGTCATGTCCTAAAAAGCTCCCACCTTAACCCAAACCATGGTAGGGCTGGGGTGGTGTTGGGTTACACCACAAAATGTCCTTCATTTTTATTTTTTCACAATTTGGCAGATTTGCCACTGTTTTGAACTTGACTGGTCAAACCACAGAACCAAAGTTGGCGGTTTTAGAAGTCAAATTTATCCATTTATTGTCTACTAAAATAGTCTTCATTGTTTGACATACCTTCTCCATGGTTTGACAAATTTTCTTTCGTTCTTCGTTCAAAATCTGCTTAGTGACACGCATGCGTAATAAGTAGAATAGTTATCACAATAACTACAACCACTGCTCAGCTCTGCATACTGCATGTCACGCATGCGCTCTATGGTGGTAGATAAAACGTGCCTCGGTCAATGATTTATTTTCGAGTTTGCAGAGAGTTAAGAATACGGAATACTCATTTATTTTACATATTCAAGTATACATGACATGACTATGTTGTAAACCAGTAAAATTACACAGCAGTCGTAAAAAAAAACTTCATAATACTGACGACACGTATGTTTTTCTGTGTTTAAAGTACAGTAACTGTGCACAATTAGTTTTTTTCTGCACCACTTTCTTTTAGTTTTTTTTATATATAGGCCTAGAGGAATTTCATTTCAACGATTGTAAATAGTCTATCCATGATCAAACTAATGCCGCCAAAAACTGTCAACTTTTGCTCTGTGGTTTATCAAGCCACAGACCTCTAGGGTCTAATTCCAGTAATGGAGGTCAGTCTGGTCAGAATAGTAAGTTGTGTTTATATGAATGCATTTATGCTACATATTCAATCGTTACAAATACTCTTGATTTTTATTTTGTCGCGGATTATTGTTTATTGATCTGTATGGTAGTCTTGGGGTAGACCAATATATTATTTATTTTAACAAGACTGACTGAATGCTGCTGTCGTCGTCGTGTTTTGTACGTATTGCCAGGGAACTGTTATAGTGTATTGCACACCAACAGCAATGTCAATTGCCGTGTTCATCGTGTGTAAAAGACTTTAGGTAGGTAAGCACATTCGATTCAATACTATAATGTAAAATGTTGTTCAGATCATGTTAATTTTTACTAAAACACACTTCAGATCACGTTAATTTTTACTAAAACACACGTTACACCTACTAGACGACAAGCAGTAGTCGACTTACCACAACTACCTAAGTTCACGCTAGGGCCTAGACGTTCGCATAAACAACACAGACAACTTCTCTAGTGTAAACTGTTAATACTCTCGCGATAGAAAACAAAATTTCCGCAAAATATTAAACACGTTCGATCCAATATCCATTATGTAAAGACCGTGTTTGGTTAGATCACTTTTTTTCATTTTTAATAACACGACAGAGGCCTAACACTACCGACGATCCCGTAAACAATTGGTCAACTACACCATGGAGCTATAAAATATATACCTCCATGACTACACCAACAAGGTATGCATTATGGAGCTCGCTTACCCTCTCGCGATGAAAAACAAAATGTCGGCAAAGTTTTTCCGACGCATGCATATATCGAAATTTTCTCCTAAAAACGACTCAAAAATGGTGGTAGGGGGTATATGTTTTATCGCGTACGTCCTACATTTCTCATCTAACATAAAAAACAAACAATTCTTGCACAACTACATGTCCACCAGTTACTATGAGGAAAACATTATACCCACCGTGAGGCACCGTTTAGGAGCCTGTTCGTTTACAAACACGCTGCTCACTTTGCTCACACACACACACACATACATTTCATGTTCGAATTATCCCATTAGTTCCTTGTTACCTTAAGGTCACAAAGGAACTAATAATGGAATTTTCCAGGATAAAGTAGCTATACTTAGTAAATTCATGTTCACACCATTCCATAATGACAGGGTTTAAAATGAACCACAGCATCCGGGTAACCTTGTATTCTTCCAAAAGATGCAATTGGTTTTTTTTTAAGTGCATACAAAAAAATAATGTTAGTATTCCTGTCACAGAAAAACAACTACATGCATAAACTCCTAACACAGAATTGGATCACAGGGCTTGTTTGTGATTTCAATAACAACGAAATCTGTTTGACAAACCTGTTAAAGCAAGGTAGTTGATATCATGTCCAGCCATTCTTTTAAAAGCACCTGCTTGTCCAAATCCTGTCATCCTTGCATAGATCAGTCCTGGGTTTGATTTCATCAGAATCTGAGGTCCTAGACCCATTTTTTCCATCACACCTGGGTAACAAAGTTTAAAAGTGTTGGAATTACAGAAAGTAAGGTAATAAATCATTCCTGATGATGATTATGATGACATAATTAATGTCGAAATATTGAACCTCAACACAATTGCATTGCACTTTAATACTTGGGAGTATATATTATACCGATGTTCCGCAAATATGGTCCGCGGCCCACATTTGGGCCGCAAAACATTTTTGGAGGGCCGCGAAGCTGTCTGGAAATTAAAAAAAAAAAGAGACGCTTCATCATGGAGAAAATAGTTTTTAATAAAGCCGCTTCGTTGTTACAGCAATTGAGTCGCTTGCGCACGCTGCTAATGTGGCAGATGCCAGAAAACTATTTAGTTAATAGCGGTTTTTGTGTCTATGCCCCTCGGGAGCTAGACACTATATGTTATCGTCTAGTATTAACCCTGTAAGATCGAGTAAATCTGTTATGGAGGAATGATGAGATGAGTCAAGATAAAAATAAATGTAAGACCTGTCCTAGAAAGATCACTACAGTAAACAACACACATTTCTTGATAACCGAATACCCATGTGGATACTTTATTACTAAACATAATACCTGTATAGTAAGGTAGTCTTTTAAAGCTGCGGAGTAACAGAGTGTGCGTCAAAGTTTTTGGAAGGAGAAAGCTATGACGTGTGTGGCTGAACCGTGTTTGGTTGAATCATGGTAGAAGAAAAACAATCAACAATTGTTGGGGGAGAGGGGAACACAAATGTACGGTATTATTTATTTAATAAAATAATATTTAATTTGTATACAATGAAATTTTATCACTGAAAGAACAGATAATGATGTCAAAATATTGTATATAGATGGAAGCTTCATGATCAAATATCCTTGTCAGTATTTGTTATGTTGGTCCCTGGCGCGGCTGGGCTGCTGGTCCGCAGCTTGGTGCCTGGAATCGTAAATAGGCCGTAAAGTAAAAAGTTTGCGGAACGCTGTATTATACTATCTTATCTGAGATTAATATGTGGACCTTTCGGTTTTAAGGTAATGAAGACTCAAGATATAAACAATTCTGCAGTAGCTCTAATACTGGTACGAGTCAATCCTTCAAATAACAGGATATCTTGATCTACACTATAATTAAGATATTCTGTATTTAATCATGAGAATGAAGCTGTTTCAGATTACACACATATGTGCATATTAGAAACTTTTTGTAAATATTGTTATAGTGATACATTTTTAGATATGGCTTATTATAATTCAGTCCTTACCAGGTCTGTAAGGCTCAATGAGAACATCAGCAGTTTTACACATCTTGTGCAATACTTCCACTCCAGCTGGCTTCTTTAAATTTAGTGCTACAGACAACTTTCCTCTTGCAAGACGATCAACTGTCATCATTTGTTGGACACGATCCACACGAATCACTTTAGCACCAAAGTCACTTAGTATCATGCCAGCAAAGGGTGCTGGAGCCAGGCCTGATAGTTCAATGACCTTTATACCAGTTAATGCCATTGCTACCTAATAAAATAAAAGCCCCCAGATTATTTTCAAAATATCAGATTGTATACATGAACCAAAAAAGCGAGACTAGGCCTAAATGGATTAGAATTATGCCAGCCCCACCAAAGCACCTCGGTTTAGCATAAATTGTCGGAACAATATCAACAGCGTTAATTGACAACCAGCCGCGATGAATGTAACACCTAGACAATAAACAGGTTGTGTTTGCTTTACTATTAATATACTTACTAGGGCCTAGGCCTATGTTTACTCGAGCGAATAAGCGCCCGGGCGCTTAAAATATTTTTTGCACTTTTTGAGGGGCACTTATTCGAACGGGGCGCTTATCAAAACAGAGTGGAAATTCAGGGGGCGCTTATGGAAATAGATGAAAATCGAGGGGTTCTTATGAGAACTTATTAAATTCAAGAGGCACATTTTGAATGAAAAACGATTATAAAATGTCATCAGGAAACCGCAAATTACGAATGGTGGTGCGGCGGAAAAGATAATCGTCCAGAGAGCATGGCTTGTCATGACAAGAATGTTGTGAGTACAGTATTACATAAGAGCAGAATAGCAGATATTAGGCCTACATAACAGCAGAATAGCAGATGAAATTAGTGGTGGTGGTTAGCTTGTTAGCCATCGGCCGATTGAGACTAACAGGATGGCATGATCATTGCAGGTTTTCTTGAAAACTCAGATGAGAATGTGTTAGCTGCAAATTGTCGGAAAAGCAGTAGGACTAGGCTATAGAAAAATGTAAGAAGATGAAAGTTGGAAATATACTATCTGTCCGGGGAGCTCTCATCTGTCCAAGATAAATATCCTCATTTTGATATTGACTAAAGGAGAATGTGATTCCACTCCACACCTCAAATCATGCCAACATCCACAGTCCAGGATTGATTGAATTAATGAGGGGGCATATATTCAAATTAGAAGGGGCGCTTATTCAAACGGGGCACTTAAGGAAATTCTCAAGTTAGGAGGGGGGGGGGCGCTCATTCGAGAGGGGCGCTTATTCGTGCGAGTACGGTACTTTACAAATAGGCTTACATCAGTATCAGTACCCTGAATTTTGTCAAGCAAGATGAATTAAAAGCTTGGTTATGAAGATTTGTTAGCCTAAAAATTGACTCTTTTGCCCAGTTCTATTATTATTACTTATGAGAACATCATAATTATCAATAACCTAGGGCTTTCCCTGCTAAAAAAAAAGTACAGTATTTGTGTATAGGGATTTGTAGGAGGTGAGATTGCAAGGGGTGACTTTGCTAGGAAGGGGCAGTTGACTGTGTCTACTTTTTAGGGTGGTTAGACGAATTACCCATTGAGCTAGATAGACTACAGTTGGGTTGGGACCTACCTAGCCCTCTACCCTCCCTACACTAATAGCTAGCTAGGTACAATAGGCCTAGCCCCGTAAAGTTTTTGAATTGCACGAATAATGATACCTCAATAATGAAGTCAAATTTGGGCGGAAAATAGGTGCACGGAATCGTAATTGATTGTTGCTGCAAATTGTATTGGTTATATGCTAAGATATGGTCAAAGCCTAATTTTCGGGAAAATCTGCGCGAAAATCGGCCCTTATTTTCCGAAATGTGCGGACGGATTTCTAGGCCAAACATAGGCCTATCCCCTGCGGAGGCCTTACAGTCTGGCTATAGCCTAGGGCCTAGCCTAGCTAGCTAGCTAGGACTCAAGGACTGTCTGGCTGGATTCGTCTGGCTAGCTAGCTACCTACCTAGGCCTAGGCCTACTGTAAGATTCCAAATAAAGTAATGAATGCGATAACGAACTGGCATGATTTACTATTTATGCTATCTATATTGTAATTCAACATTTTGCCTTCATAATACAATACCTAATTTCTAAACAAAGGCCGATTCGACGGTTTTGTTTGGTTGGTTGGGAAAGGGGTAGAGAACTCTATGGTTGGATAAGACGCTAGGCCTATACTATGGAACGCCCACAGTGACTTCACCGGCGGCTATAGCATTCAGCTGCGCATTTACCATTCGGCGACCCATTGCATTCAGTGCATTTGGCATGCGGCGGCGAATTTTCATTCGGCGGCGACCACGTATTCGGCGCATTTGGCATGCGACTACATCATTCGACGACTTAGCATTCGGCGGCTAAAGCCTACATCATTCGGCGACTTTAGCATTCGGCGACTATAGGCCTATATCAGTTAGCGACCTTTCATCCCATAGGACAAAATGGGTAATTTTCAACGCCTGCTTACAAGCCTAACTTTTATAGCTGTATATTTGTTGTTAATCTAGTTTGTGTTTGTGTTTTTCTACTACATTTGAACAAGAATAATGATAATACTTATGATTATTATATTTTGATGTTATTTGTAACAATAATGAATTAATTCGTGTGTCTAAAACAATGACTCTGTGACATTTAAAAGGGCTCGGTCGTTGTAGTCCAGTGTCCTTGGCCCATGCAGTACTCTGGAGTGTTTGGAATGTAACCTCATATTGAAAATTTATAATACAATCCTCGAAAAGCATTTTATTTTACGTATGGGTTTTGTACACTAAACATTAGTTATCATTTTGATTTCACAAACATAGGGTGGTTTACTTAATTTATCATTATCAGTGGCGGCCCCAGGAATGCAAAGGGAAGGACTTGCACAATTTGGGAAAGTATGAGCCCCACCATGGTTGAGGCGAGGAAAGAAAAATTATGATTGTGACACCTCTAGATTGCCGGAAATGGCACTCTCAGACCTAAATTTTAATTATAATTTTGCTTTTGTTTTTTCCATTAAAAAAAAATAATTTTGAAAAATTTAGGGTTGGCTCGGCCCCACTTGAATTCGCCACTGATTATTATGACGTAATTGTGAGATTGCGTCAACGTAACACTGGAGTTTGTAAAATCTTGGTCTCACTAAATCGAAATAGATGTCCGTGTCAAAGGCTGCTTAATTATTGTTTAAAAATGGCTATATAAAATTCAGTTGACTAACTATAATTTTTTTTTTAAATTAGGAAAAACAGTCCTAACATCCTATGTATGTAGATAATATTAAACACTAGTATATACGTACGGGTCATACAGTAATGCCGTAATATACAAAAGGAATAAATCGTTTATAGTAGAAATTGTGCACTTTTGAGTTTGTAAAAACATTGACCTAATAAGTATACACGCTTCTAATTTTAACAACGTCAAGTACATTGTTTTCACAATAAATTTAGCCTCTGATAACCACTGCACCCATGAAATCGATCAAGTGTTTCTGAGATGGTTATGAAAAGTATAAACAATTGCGTTTTTACTCAGTTTTGGTCCGGAAAATACGTACCACACTTGGAAAAGTGAACAAGCAAAATTCACGAGTCATGCGTAATTGTTATTCTTTCCATACACTTTTAAAAGTGGGGTTTTAATTATAGAAGATTGGTGAAAATTGGGGGGGGGGGAGAGACAATCGATATGATGCCCCCCCCCCCTATTTTGAAAAGTGTCCCCCGTCCCCCACCGATCGACGCCCATGCCTTTACTAATATTCCCAGCCCACCTTAACATACAATACCCCCAAACAGAAAACATCACCGATACGTAGAACATCAAACATATGTCCTGTTTAAGCGCAAAATAACCTAGTTTTCTAAGACAGTAGAGTCTACTATTTAATTTCTTAACTACATAATCAGTATGATCCCTCCAACAAAGTTTATTGCCAAACACCACCCCAAGAAGAATCTACAATCTCCACTTTTTGACCAAATGTTTACTTTATTCGGAACAGTTCTGTTATTCTTCCTGAAATCAATGTGCATTTCTTTTGTCTTATTTATGTTTAATTAAATTATTTCCACAATACTCAGTAAATCTAAGAATTTCAGAAACATACAGGGAATCATTATTATTATTTATGAGACCAATCAATGCTGAGTCATCCGCAAATTTGATCATTGGACAACTCGGAGAAGTAGACCTAAAGTCTGACGTGTAAATCGCAAACAAGAAAGGGACCAATCAATGCTGAGTCATCCCTAATTTTATCATTGGACAACTTGGAGAAGTAGACCTTAAGTCTGACGTGTAAATCGAAAACAAGAAAGGGACCAAAATAGTTACTGTTTTGGTCCCTTTCTTGTTTTCGATTTACACGTCAGACTTAAGGTCTACTTCTCCAAGTTGTCCAATGATACTGGTAGACACCGTATCGGAAATAACGGTATTCTGTAGCTTAACATACTGAAGACGGTCGAACAGGAAATTAAAAACAAACAAAATTAATAAACTTAATACATTTACATATATATTTACATATACAGTACTGTATAAATACTTAGACCGCACCTACAAAACCCATACGTGAAATGAAATGCTTTCCAAAGATCGTATTATAAATTTTCAATATGAGGTTACATTCCAAACACTCCAGAGTACTGGATGGGCAAAGGACATTGTACTACAACGACCGAGCCCTTTTAAATGTCACAGAATCATTTTTAGACACACGAATTTATTCATTAGTGTTGCAAATAACCTCAAAATATAATACTCATAAGTATTCATTATTCTTGTTCAAATGTAGTAGAAACACACAAACACGAACAAGAAGAACAAATATACAACTATGAAAGTTAGGCTTGTAAGCAGGCTTTGGAAATTACCCATTTTATTCTATGGATGAATGGTCGCCAATTGATATAGGCCCGGATATAGGCCTATAAATAGTCGCCGAATGCTAAAGTCGCCGAATGATGTAGGCTTTAGTCGCCGAATGATGTAGTTGCATGCAACATGCGCCGAATACATAGTCGCCGCCGAATGGAAAAGTCGCCACCGTATGCCAAATACGTTGAATGCAATGGGTCGCCGAATGGTTACGTAAAAGCGCAGCCGAATGCTATAGCTGCCGCTGAAGGCACTGTGGGCGTTTCATAGTATGGAGAGGAGCTAGATCGACATCTCTCATCACATGTAATAATTGCACAGCAAAAAGGTCACCAGAAAACAGCAATGGCACCTCAGAAATCGAAGTTTTCTGATGGCGTGCCAACGAAATTTACAGAAGGTTTTTATATTATACTTACGCTTACACTTTATAATTATAATTATGTTTTAATTTAAATTTCGAAAATTTTGCATATATAGTTAAAATTAAATAGATTAGGGCCTTACATAGGCCTAGGCCTAGGCTAGCTGGGCTAGCCTACTAGCTAGGCCTAGGCCTACTAGCCTCCCTACCTAACCTTGGCTAAGCCTAGCCTAGGCTGGTAAGGCCTAGGCTAGCAAAGCCTAGGCCTAGAGAGACTATAGGCGTATTCGACTGGTATGTTTTGAGCAGCTCTTTCTACTCAAACTGCACATGTCGTATTCAACTGGTCGCACGAGCAACACAAACTCCTCACAAGAGCGGCTCGAACTCCTCGCTGTTTTTTTTTTTAACGAGCACAACGAGCACACTCCGAGTAGGCCTAGTAAATCACTCCTCGGAAAAGCACCAGTCGAATATGCCATATGTTGGCCAGGCTAGGCCTACCCTAGAGGCTAGCCTGTCTGTGTAGTAGGTAGGTCTTTTCCTGACCAAGCCCTACAGCAGTAGTTGTAGGCCTCTATGTAGGCCTAGCTAGTCATAAAGTCACATAATTGAAGGCTATGCTTACGCTGCGGCGTAAGCATTATTGAAGAAGGCTATGCTTACGCTGCGGCGTAAGCATTATTGAAGAAGGCTATGCTTACGCCGCTGCGTAAGCATTATTGAAGGCTATGCTTACGCCGCGGCGTAAGCATTATTGAAGGCTATGCTTACGCCGCGGCGTAAGCATTATTGAAGGCTATGCTTACGCCGAGGCGTAAGCATTATTGAAGAAGGCTATGCTTACGCCGCTGCGTAAGCATTATTGAAGGCTATGCTTACGCCGCGGCGTAAGCATTATTGAAGGCTATGCTTACGCCGCGGCGTAAGCATTATTGAAGGCTATGCTTACTTACGGCAAGGTGTAATTACTACGTCCAGATGATGGGGTGTCTCATGTATAGACATAGCTTCCACAAAGTTTTAAAAAAGTAAAAAGTAAATTTATTTACTGATATTGATATTAACTTATTATATTATGATGATTCAACATACAGTAATATCTCCCAATTACGAACTCTCGATTTTATAAACCGAATTTGCGTCGATGACGTCATTACGAACAATTGTTTTAACTACAAAAACACTTAAAAATATATTTACAAGTCTTCAGAAATAATTTAAATTGTTACAGAGAAAACATTCTACCAATAAAGTTTAAAGCAAGAAATATCAATTGTTTTCAGCCGAGATATATTGTATATGAGCTGTGCATGCTTGTTCAGACATGCTGTACAGTAAATCTCACTTTTTGATTATTGGGGGCACTATTCGCATGGATTCACAATCTTTATGAAAAGAATAATGACACTCGTTTTGGGCATTATATGGTCATGTTTTCATTTGGAAATCACTTCAAATGAATGCTTCACAGTGAGCATCTAGGTAATTTCTCAAATTGTCCACAACACACACACTAGGCCTAGGCTTTCCCTTCCACTCGTGTAAAAAATATTTGCCCTGTTGGTTTGCTCATGTGTGCCGCCTGTGATTGAACATTGTTCTTAGATGGGTTTATATACAGACTCACCTTACCCAACAAGAACAATGTTAATATGGACACTATGGATACTAAAGAAAAAAAATTGATGATCAATGATCAATGCTAACGTCTTGGTGTAAGCATAGACACTGCGAAAAATAAACAGGTCAGTACCGTAATAGATTGTAAATTAAGGCCTGCGCGGTGAATATATCCTCCGCACAAAAATTAGCCCACACATTTCGGAAAATAATACTTAAGAGCCGATTTCTGCGCAGATGTTGCCGAAAATTAGGCTTTGACCTAATATTAATAAATAATTGTATTATGCAGTAGTTATGATTCCGCACACCTATTTTCCTAGTGATTTTCCGCACAAATTTGAGCAAATTTTTGTCAACTTGAACATAGAAATCAGTGTATTTAAAAAATGTTTACCATTAATTTTACAGTGAAAAATGATAGTGTTTTTATTATTTTTATCTTCCATTATAAAAATTAGGGTACACATTTTAAAAATAATTTTAATAATTTCTATGCTCAAGTTAACAATTTGTATGCTACTGCAAAATGAGAAAGTAATTTCAAAAGGAAGTTGTTTTATCATTATCATATTTGTGCTGGTTTGTTTAGGTGCAGTGTTGGAGAGCCACTCTGGTAGTGTTTTACACTTTCCCCTTCCTCGGGTATTGTCAGTTGGAACTTTTAATTTTGTCTTCCCATTTTGTGTGATCGGTATACTTGGAAATTAAATAAAATATCTAAATAAAATAAAAATTCAAAACAAAGGAAATGGTCATAGGTTTTTGAAAAAAAAATTACATAAATAAATAAAAAAATTTTTTTTTAAATAGGTGACATTCAGAACAAACGGTAGTAATAAAGGGCAATGCAATAGAACAACATTCATCTAGATCTACTAAATATGTTCAATAATGCAATATACAGTATAAATATATCTTGTAATTGCATTTTATTTATTTGTTTATTTACCTGGATGGATGATTCCCTAGATTTTCATCCATCCAGGTGTTTCTGCTGTATGGTGAAATGGGACCTGCCTGGCAGAATGAACCCCTAACATGTCAAGTGTCCAGGCATATTTTGGTCTTAACCTTGTATATTATACAAATATTGACTGCTCATGAGGGGATTGGTGAAATCTATTGCCCCTCGGTGATGTGGAGACCTTAGCCGATCTTCTCTTTTGTAGAATCTAGAGCAATCAATATTTGTTTTATATACCTCATACATAGGTTCTACGAGGCATAAAAATGTACTTCCTAGCCTAGGCTAGCTAGAGGCATACTACTGCTAGTAGAGACGATCAAAGAGTGTGTCTAGGTCTAGCTCTTGCTCATTTTCTCAATTTCAGCAGCACCCATCGTCTTGCAATATTTGTTGAATATTGACAAGACATATTTAATTTGTCTTTTGGTGCTTTTGCAATTGGCTTCATCAGGAAGTAATGCTAGGCCTAGGCTAGTCCTTCATCCAGGAGCTTGAACCGACCAGCCTCTATTGTTTATCGTGTACTCGCTGATCCGTGGCACGGTCAAGGGCCTTTATGAGAAAAAAAAATAAAATAAAAAATTACATCTAATAAATCTATCAATATTTGAGTGTTTGTATAAAATAACATGCATTTATTTTGTTTATTTACAGGTGAACGAGTTTTGTGTTTCCATGGACCACTTTTGTATGAAGCCAAGGTAATGTCTGGAAAAAAAAATCTACATTCATTTTGTGTTTACATAGTATTCAATTGATTTAATAACAAGTGTTAATGAATTGAATTTACAAGATTAATTTTGTTTAGGTCATTGTACGAAGATGTTGCTGTATAATTATATTGTATTTTGTGCAACTACAAAACGTGTGGTTTCTTTTTTTTTTTACTTCGTTTCAGTGTGTCAAGTCAAATGTCAAGGAGAAAACCATCAAGTATTTCATTCATTACAATGGTTGGAACAAGAAGTAAGCATATAATTACCAACAGTAGTAGAAGCTAACATTGATTGATTCAGAAAAAAATGCAGTTGTGACATTAGATGTTTATTAGGCTGATACAAGAGATGCTGCCATTTGCTTTCTTTATGTTATGGCATGCTCTTTGTTGGATACTGTATGCTAGCTTTAACTAAGAATTTCTTTCTGATTAATCCTAATTACTTGTGTATATAAATTAATTTTAACTTTATATTTTAATTAGTTATTTCATATCATAGTACTTATAAGGTTTTCATCAACTTATTGTTTTCTAGTTGGGATGAATGGGTTCCTGAGAGTCGGGTATTGAAGTTCAATGATGGAAACATTCAGAGGCAGAAAGATCTTTTAGCTGCTCACTTGTAAGTGTTATTATAATTTCAATTCAACTGATATGCTAATCAATTAAATGAGTTGTATTAATATGTTGGGTCAATTTGCTATATTAAAAATATTTAAAAAAATAGCTATGTAACTTCCATTTTACACAACATTGGAACCTTGTCAAAGACAAATAAGTGTATAATGTCATCGTCTTACATCAAACTCATTTTTCAAGGTGTTACAAAAAGCTAATTTTGTGAATATTGTACATGCATACTTCTCTATATTCTCACAACAGAGAACTCGATCAACTAGTCGAGTACAATCTCCAAAAAGTTATCACATCAATGAGGCTTGCCTTCAGCTCACTTCTACTCACAAGTACCTTGGTGTTAACATTGCATCTAATTTATCATGGGGTGCTCACGTTAATGATGTCACTTCCAAGGGTCTGAAACTTCTTGGCTTTATTAAGCGAACTTTGAAATACAATCACTCCGAAGCCTTTATCAAATTATATAATTTCCTCGTGAGACCAATTTTAGAGTATGGAGTACCGAGTTGGTATCCATTTCAAGCTGGACATTTGAAATCTATTGAAAAGGTTCAGAGAAAAGCAACTCGTATGAGCATCCCAAATGAACTCAGATCTGTGTTAAGCTATGAGGAGAGATTAGTTAAATTTAACTTGATCTCTATGAAGGCTAGATACGATTTCATTCTTGTAGCTTTTGTTTGTAAATGCCTTTATCATGTATATGATTTAAACTGTTTGGAATTTGTTAAGATCAACACAAGACACTCTGATGATTTGCGTTTTTGGCATGCCTTTGCCCGAACCAATGCATTTAAATTCTCTGCTTTCAATTATTTTTCCATTGAATGGGAAACTCTTCCACTTGAAGTATGTGATGCTGCTCTCTTTAACATTAACTTATTTCTCAGAAAGCTAAAAGAACATTTTTACAACTGAGAGAATTTCAGATATGC